GCGAGAGCCTGAATACCCCATATGGAAATGTCGAATTTTGCCTTTGACGAATATTCAGGCCCGCATTCACTTAGGGCGGGCACTTGGCTTGCTGGGGGCCTTAGCCCAAAACAATGTGATGTCTGATAGGGCCACTTGAGGGCTTGTTCCTCACATTCCATCCCCCTTAGAAAGTTCGCTGAGATGCTTCATGCTGGTGCCTTCCCTTTTAACCTCTTCTCATAATCTGCCACGATTTGAGGAGCTGTCTTGACAAGTTCCTCCCTTGAGATCCATCGATCTTCCTTCGCATCTGTATGATGCCTGAAATGTACTATGTATTCCCTCGCAGGTTTTGGAGGTCTTCCCCTGCCAGGTGGCTTGGGAACAGGCGTGTCTCTATGATCCAGGATATAGTCGACATCCACGTGGCTATCCATGGTTGGGGGCAGCATAGATCTCCATGATGGGAACTGTGCTGTCTCAGCGAAAGGTGCAAGCTTGGAGGCATGAAAAACAGGGTAAGTGTGTAAGTGACCAGGGATACGGATAACGTACGAGGGTCCATCCAAATCATTCCCCACAATGTCTAGGACTTCCCAGGGACCGAAATATTGAGGCATTAGTTTCCTAGAGATGCCAAACTCCTGTCCCAATTCACTAGCCTTGACCCAGACACGTTCCCCTACCTGAAATGTGGACTGTCGGCGATGCTTGTTCTTAGAAGCAATCATAGCTTCTTGAGATTTCTTGAGGTGTTCGATAGTCTGCTGCAACAGTTTCTCATACTGGACACCAAATTCAATGGTTCCAGGAGTTGCAGTAGTTCGGTTCTCAGGCAGGATGAAGTCTAGAGCAGATCTAGGCTTCCACCCCAGATGCAGTTGATTAGGACTGACGCCGATGGTGCTGTGTACAGCGTTGTTGTACAACGATGAGAGGTAATTTCTCATCCCAGTCATCCTGGTTGGGCTTGATGTCATGCCTCAGCAGATGCTGCACCACTCGGTTCATTTGTTCAGCCTGCCCATTTGCTTCGGGATGATTCCCAGCAGTCATCTGAAGCTGGCTGCCCATCTGTTTAGCGGCCTTCTTCCACATCTCGCTTGTGAATCGTACACCTCTGTCACTAACGATCGTTTTTGGAAGTCCTAAGTCACGCACCCAGTTGTCCATGAACAACTTGATGACGTGCTCAATCCTGGCTGTCTCTGGCATGGCAATTAGTCTAGCGTACTTAGTGAACATATCCACTATGACGAAGATGTGCCTCTTGCCATTCTTGCTGGTCACGAGAGTGTCCATGAAGTCCATGGAGATACTTTGCCTTGGGCCAGCAGGAATGGGTAGAGGCTTGAGTAACCCAAGCGGAGCTTGAGTCCGCGGCTTGTCCCGCTGACAGACAGGTCTGTACGTACTTCTTTGCATCGTCCAGCATGTTAGGCCACCAAAATCGTTGTACTAAGTTAGCACTAGTCTTCTTATAGCCGAAGTGTCCTGTTGCGTCATGGCATTCTCCTAGAAACAAACTGCGCAAATCTTCCCTAGATGGAACAACTAATCTCTTAAATCCTGCCTTCTCAAGAAAGAGCAACCCATCCACAATCACAAACTTATCAGTAGTGGCCTTATCTTTAGCCTGAAGTTTGTTGATGATGTCCATCGTGATGGGATCTTCCTTGTAGGCTTCCTCCATAGATCGAGTTACATCCTCAGATAAGCCAAACTCAGCAATCAGCGCACCCATGTAATCTGCCCTTCTAAACAACGCATCTGCAACCTTGTTGTACTCTCCCTTCACATAGTCTAGTTTGAAGTCATACTGATCTATGACTTCAATCCATTGTTTGAGTGCATTAGAAAGAACCGGTTGCGTCTTGATCCACTTGAGAGTCTGGTGGTCAGTTCTCAGATAAAAGAACCTCCCTAACAGATAGTGCCTCCAGTGGACAAGTGCCTTGTAGAGAGCATAGAGTTCCCTCTCGTAGGTGGACTTTGCCAACTTCTTTGATGGCATCTTTTTGCTCATGTACTCGACCGGTCTCAACTTCTTCCCGTCCTGCTGAGCCATCATTGCGCCAATGCCATATTGGCTTGCGTCAGTGGTTACAACAAATGGCCTTTGTGGATCGGGTACCATGAGAAGCTCATGGTGTGTGAGAGTATGCTTCAAACGTTTGAATGCTGCCTCACACTCGTCGGTCCAGTCCCATGGTGTGTCAAGTCGAGTTAGATCGGTCAAGGGAGATGCGATCATGCTATAGTTCTTTACGAAGTTGCGATAATAACCACACATTCCCAAGAACGATCTGACCTCAGTCACAGACTGGGGTCGTGGCCAGTCACGCATGCTGGCCACCTTTGCATCTTCGGGCCTAATCCCATCCGCGGATACTTCATGACCCAAGTACAAGATTCGAGTGCGACCGAACTCGCATTTCTCTACGTTTATCTTATACTTGTGCTGCCGAAGGAGTGAAAGTACTGTGTCTACATGCTGAGTATGCTCCTCGACAGATCTACTGAAAATAAGTATGTCGTCGAGGTACACGACAACAAACTATCCAAGTAGTCATGGAAGATCCTATTCATGGCGTGCTGGAATGTACCCAGCGCATTGCAAAGGCCAAAGGGCATCACCACAAACTCGTATAGACCGTACCTGGTTTGAAATGCCGTTTTGTGCTGGTCCTCTGGTCTTATGGCACTCTGATTGTAGTTGGACTTTAAGTCTATCTTTGTATAGTACTTATATCCCTACACCCTATCCAATAGGTCGTCGATGCGTGGTAGAGGCTCTGCGTTCTTAACGGTGATGGCGTTGAGGCCTCTATAATCAATGCACATCCTTAGTGTTCCCCCTTTCTTTGGAACAAACAATACTGGTGAGCCAAAGGGGGAAGTGCTAGGCCGAATCCAACCCTTCTCTGTGAGCTCTTTCAGTTGCCGCCGAAGTTCGTCCAACTCGGTTGGGGCCATCCTATATATTCTTCCCTTAGGTGTTTTACTACCGGGGATGATCTCTATGGCACGGACAATCTCCCTGTTTACGACTCCTGTAGGCTCCTCGAACAGATCAGGGTACTTGGCGACGATGGTCTCTATCTCTAGGGGTGTTTTAACGACCTCCTCTTTCTCAGAGACATAGACTAAGTACATTCCTTCCTCTTGGTTCTGTTTATAATAATTGTTGAAGGGAGATGTACATAAGCACCCACAGGAGTCTACTAACCTACTGGCTTTGTACTTGGCCAGTGTAACGGTTCTCCCACTAGGCAACTCGTGCTTCAACACCTTTTTGTCCCAGTCAAACTGGGGCTTGGCAACGTCGAGGTAGCACATGCCCAATAATATGTCAAAGGGCAACTCGTCACTCACCAGGAATGATATCTTATGGTTTATCTCTCCTCCTGGGTAGGAGAATGTGCAGACTACATCTTTAACGTAGTCCTCCACCATCATGCGCTCTTTATTGGCCAAAGTAGAGGCTTTCGGTCTACTAAGGCGCTGCACCCGGTCCTTTAGGCACAGTCTGTCAACGCAGTCGCGACTTATAAAGTTTCGCGTGGAGCCAATGTCTACGAAGGCGCCGCACTTTCGACCACCCACATCAACTTCCACAACGAAGTGCTCCCGTTTAGGACCTCTAATCAGTGCCACCCAGGACTCACGAGGGTCCCTTGCCGACCACTCACCTTGAAGGTCCTCTAAGGCCTCAAACACATCCAACGTACAGAGTATAGTTGGGTCCGGATGCATCTGCGGGGTGACTAAGGAGTCGATAACTTTTGCCATCTCTTGAAACGGGGAGGGTACATCACCCGCTTCAACGAGAGTAGAAGCAGCTACAACTTCTACTGGCCCTCAATGCTTCCTGAGCTGGAGCTCGTAGAGGCCCCAGACTGAGAAGAAGAAAACCCACCCTTAGGAGGGATCTTCTGCGAGACCTTCGGGTTCTTGCATTTGAACTGCGTATGATCGTAGTTACTGCAGTTAATGCGAGCACCACGAGACCAACGGTCCCTCCACGCATCTTGATCCAGACCTATTCTAACCCAAGCAGCTATTTTGTTTGGGTTAGCGACCTGCCCCTGACTCCTTTGTTGACCGCCCTTCCCGTGGCCACTTGCCTTAGTTTTAACTGCGGCGGCGAGGTTGCTACCCTCAGCGATCTCCTCACCGCCAAACTCTGAAGCCTCCACAAGTTCGGACACATCATCGATCTCGGTTTGGTTCCCATCGGAATCAACCATCATCAATCGACTACCCTTCTTCTTCCACTCTTGTGGAGTCTTCTTCTTCCTTCCGTCCGTAGAAATGGTTTGAGCTCCACCCAGCGTAGCCTCTGAGTCTAGGGCCTTCTTGCTAAATGACTCAAACGTGTGATACTCTCGGCGAGCCTCGCTAGCTAACAAGTTCTTGATGTCTTTGGAAAGACATCTCAAGAAAGTGGTCAATAAGACCTTTGGATTGTACTCCACTCCTGGGACAACGATTAGACGCTCTACGGTTGTGGTCAACTCTCGCACTGACTTGTACTTTCTAGAGTCAAGCTTAAGAATCCCATCAGTGGCAATCTATGCCTGCTGAGGGTTGTGCCAAGGAGCCTCCACTAAGTCCATAAAGCTCTCCAAGGTGTGGGTCTGCGCCCAATCATGCATGTTCCTGCCGAAGCCCTTTGAAGCTACCAATCTGTTTAGCCAGCGGGCTGCTGAACCCTCTAAGTAGGATGCAACAGTAATCACTTCCTCTTCTACCAATGTCCTTTTTGCCCTCACCCACACTGGCACCGTTCTCAACCATGTGTCGAGAGCCTCATCCTTCTTCTTGTCTCCTGAGAAGGTTGAAGGTGGGTTTAGTGGGGTCTTGGGATACCAAGGATATTGCTGTCCCGCTTGCGAGACAGGTGGCGACTGTGGTGCAGCAACAGTCGCTGGACCAGAAGATGAAGAAGCAACAGTCTGAGATAGAGTTGTTGTTGCTGTAACGCTTGGTGGTGGTCCAGACTGAGCGGCATAGAGGTCTGTCATCGCTGAGAGTGGCAGCGATGGTAAAGCTGCTGGCCGGATCCCTGGCTTGTGTAGTGCTTGCAGGATCTGGTCTAGGGTATCCTGCATGGCGTCTATTTTACTGTCTATGTATGCATGCATGGATAGGACACTTGCCTTCAGGATCTTTCCTGTAGTGTTAAGGGCAGAGTCCTCCAATGCCTCTTGCGCAGCCATGTGTGCCTCCCTCCCCCCTAATCTGACACTTCTCTCTTTGATTTCTTTCTCTCTCTTAGTAGCTTGCCTAAGTCCCTCCTCTAGCCTTAAGCGGATCCTCTCTACTTGTTGGAGCTCCATCTGCTCCCGGGTGCGTGGAGGCGGCGAGCTGAACTTCGAGCCCGCCATCTGACTAGTGCCAGCCCCTGACGTACTGGAGGTGGACTGTGAACTGGTCGGCATGCCTAACCCTTGACCAGTTGAGTTTGCAGCAGTAGCCATTGCTACCGCTCTAGCTGCTGCTGCTTCCCTTTCAGCCTCAAGATTACGGGCCCTAGCTTCAGCCCTTAATCTTCTTTCTTCTCCCGGTTGTAGGGCCTGGAACACTCTAGGAATTCTAAGGGATGATAGCCTTGTTATCCTCCAATCGTCATCTGCACCTTCACCACCCTCCGATCCACTCATAGGTTAGGCAGACACTGGCTGCACTAATGTCCTCGCTGGAACCTACCGCAGCATGCGTCTGACTGGATCTAAAAATAAATAAATAAATAAATGCCCGGCGAGTCACCTAGTCTACTAATCAAGCGGCATCAACAACATCTACACAAACTGTACACATTGTCTAGCTCTATTCTGATTAGTCTGCACAGAAGATTCGAGAAGAACTGACTATGGTAGATTACAGTCCTACTCTAGTCTATCTGTTAGGTGTAAGCAATCGGTCAACCAACTAATCAAAATAAAAACATAGACTAATGTGAGCAGATGTATGCACAATGGATATGTCAGTGATGTACAGTTGAGTTCACAATTGGAATCCCCTTCCCCTGTATCCAACGTACCTGTGAGCATCATCAAGCTGCAGTGTCTAAGGTGTGCAACAACGGCCCACCCCTGTGCCCAAGAAGTATGCGTATGACCAGCCTGCCCCTTTGTTTACCCTCGCGTGCAACGAGCCTTACATCTGACTGATCTGGCTGATCAAGAGGCAATTTAAGGACAGCCCTTGGAGTCCTCAGGAATTCTTTATCGTCGCATTCAGGACGACGATCACAGCCATTGGACAGTTCAGACCCCAACCAGAATTGTTTATGGACGGTCTGGGAGCGTCTCAATAGGACTGGTCAGTCCGCACACCCTTTCTATCAGCGCAGCAAAGAGCCTCAATGGACAAAGCAGCATGGCCTGCGTGTACTAATACCCATGGGTTGGCATGGTGACCGTGACCTGTGCTTCGACCACGGCCCTTCAGAGGCACCACCCTCTCCTGCCAGATGTGCCACCGGGAAGAATGTCGCATCTCAAGATAGAGCGCACACAACTCCTCACCAAAAAGAGGACACTCAAGTTGGACTCGCTTCCTCATGGTAAGAAGAGATTGAGAGGGTAGATAAGGAATGGGAAGAACGTACCTGGAGATAGCTGCCCCCAACCACAGATTTCTCAACAATTGGACCGACGTGCATGTCGATGACCGGTCATTAGCCTCTGTACGACCCACAACGCAATGCAGTGCCACCTCAGCCAAAATGCCACGTCAGCATACTCTCATCATCATGCATACACCCGCTGTCGCCACAGCTCCCACGCTGTCGCCACAGCCTTCCAGCGGCCGGCCTCTCTACCTAGGCCCCGCTAATCAACCAGCGCAAAGTATCCTCACTGCACATGAAGCATCGTCAGCGCACCAAGTCACAATGTCACCGGTGCCAGGTAAGCGGCGATCACAACCTCGCTCCGATACCAAATTGCAAGGAATATGAGTGTGTACGATATACAGAAAAGCAGATTGCGAAATCACACAGATGTCCAAGTAGTCGTGTCCAAGCAGAGAGTACAGAATGCACCGAGAAACCATCCATATAGACCAATACAATGAAGTAATGAGCCAATGTTCAAGCCCATAGGCCACACCAACACAGTATCCAAAGTCGCTCTCTCTGCTGTCTGGCGCCCAGAGCCCAGTCTACCCTACCGGACTATCCTACCTACAACTGGT